GTTGGCGGTGGGTGGTGATGACTAGCTGCCTTCCCTCTAGTCTTACACTGCTAAATTAGGGACGGCTAGCGCAGATAGCCCTCGTGTAGCTTTGCGCGAAATTCCAAAACAAACAAACAAACAAACAAACTACTAGCAGCACTGCTTCAATGGCTTGAGAGATTTATCAACCTCTATGTCAAGATCCTTTTCTTCTGTCACGATATTACATGGGTTATCATCTATATAAAACGTTGTAATCCAAATTGTAAAAACCCAAACGCATTACCTTGCGTTTAAGGTAGGTAAAAGTAATTTGCGAAATATTTGTCTAACTAACCAACTGATTCAAGTCATTCTGTAGTACTTCAACATCTTCAATACAGCTAGAAATCCTAAATCAGGAAACTTTATCAATTTGCTAATTATGCTCCTATCTATGTCATTAATGCATATAAGAAAGAGCAGAAAGGTAAGAAACGTACCATTCCTGAGGTAATTCACATGTAACAAAGGTCCAGTTTTGTTTTCTTTCATCCAACCACCCTACAATCCAATAAATTAGTCTTTCCCCAACCCCTACAGAAATGATTTTTGTTAGCTAATTTTCTGTGTGGAACCTTATAAAAAGCTTTGAAAATCTAAATCTTTTACGTTATCCAGATAATAAGTATCTTCGAAAAAGTTACTAGGCAAGGTTTTCCTTTATTGAATCGATATTGGTTTTCTTTTAAATGATTTTGCTAAGCTTCTTTTATCAGAATTTCTAGAAGTTTACCCACTACAGAGGTATGGCTAACTGGCGTATAATTTCCAACTCTTACTACTCCCATTAAAAAGAAGAGTAACATTAGCAATTCTCCAATCCTCAGACTCTTTCTCACTCTCTATTGACTTAACTAGTAATATTAGCAGGTTAAAAGAAATATTATAAACTATACATTAGCTGATTAGATTATTAGTTTTCATTGATATTCTATTATCTGTTGAATAAATTCTTAGTTTTAAATGAACAGTTTAATGACTGTACAAACTACAGTAAAACGTAATTATAATTTTATTTCTTATACGATTAAAAAGAGTACAGGCAATGGGATATACACAATATGTAATAATTTGTGAAAGGTGACGGCAATTGTTTCTATAAGAAATAATTAATTTTTAAAGATTCGGAAATGGGTTAATGAAACAGTTTTGTTCTAAATCGCATACAATGAAAAATGTATAAAACTGTAAAAGATTATTTTTCTGTAATTTTTTGTAGAATTATAAAAACTAATTTAGGTAATAAAATTCTCAAGAATGGAGCGTTAGATTCTTATTTCTTTACAAAATTAATTATATATTAAAGCCTCTTTAAGAAGTGTAAAAATACGTATCTCATGTAATATCTATATAATGATTTATACAGTTGAGTTTATCTGACGGAGCATGACTCAATGGTGAGCATGTATGGACATGGATATAAGGATTCATGGTCTGTGCCTCATTACTGTGGATGAACTATAAGAGAAACGACAAAATCCCGCTATTTAACAGATAAAATAATAGTTCAAGAGTTGTTGGTGGGTGTTGTTGACTAGTTATCAGTTCAAAATTAGGGACGGCTATGCGCAGACAAACCTTTTATGTGGCTTTGCGGAAAAATTCTGAAACAAACAAACTGAGCTTATTCAAACATCTCTAAGAACTTGTTATTACATTCCGTATAATGTCTATACAATAATTTAAACAACCGAGCTTATTAAGGTATTTCTAGGAATTTATGTATATTGCTATTTATTATCATTTTAGAGTTGATAATTGACATTCTTGAAAGAGAGGACTTAAGCAAAAGGAGTTGACATTTCAAATTTGATATACATTTCACATGATTGTTCGGGTACCAGATTTTTCTACCACTGAGTTTTCAGCTATATATATAGGGCCTTAGGAGTCTAAATGTAGAAACCATTAATTCCTTACACATACTACTTCATACTGTACAACTTTTACATTTAGTTTGGAATGTAAAATGTCACGTTTGTTAGCCAATTGCATATGATTTTGGAATTATTAGAACTTAGTGCAAAACGTGATAACTCAAAGTAATTTTACATTTGGGTTTTGAAACAGGTATGTTCGTACTTTTTGAGAATACAAAAATATCTCTAAAATAGAAAGTCACTGAAAGACTGAATAAATAAATGGTAAAAATACTAATCCTAAGCTAAATGCTTTTGAAAGCCGATTTCACATACATATAAGTTTCAACTCGACGAACATAAAAATTTGTCAGAAAGGTACGCTAAAAAGTATATGTTTATTCTAAACACCATTAAACATATACAGGCTGTATTCAACTTTTCTTGTAACAAGAATAATATAAGTAGAAGAGTATTTGTTTAATAATAGTTTTAAATTACGATGTTATAAACAGAAGTATAGAATATATTATCCTTTAAATTGGGGACAAATTGTTTCGCCACTTATCCTTTGAACATATATATCGCTTACAAGGAAAAGTTTGCACGGAGAGGATTCGTAGATGGTAAGGTGTAAAATCCTGAGAATAATTTTAAAGATATTATATATATATTAGGTCGTCAAGAAATTAATGTCGCGTTTTCATTAACCACCCCCCAAAAAGTACATCACGTATAATTGTTAAACG